AGGGCATCTTCCATCCATTTACAAGCTTAGCACATAAAATAAGAGTTAAAGTTCACATCTTTAAGATCATTGTGGAAAAATAATGAGCTCAAGGAGATACAAATTGACCAAGTTATGATCTTTTGAAGTCACATAAGGGATTTTGATGGCCTATCTAGAGGACTTTTGATCTTTCTTCTTTATTATGTATCCTCCATACAAAACTTTCTTGAAACTTTTGAAGTGATTTATTGATAACCATTTGAAGAGAATCAGGTTTTTGGAATCACTCAAAAATACCAAAAGATAAGCAAGATATAGCCTTTAGAAGTTCAAAACCCTAGCTACTAAAGCAACAAAATGCCTTGGAAAACCTTTTCAATTTTGACAAACCTTCTTGCACAATTACTTTTGTCATGTAAATAGATTTTGTTAAGGATGATAATGAGAAACCATGGCAACCATAACCACTTATAAATATTTAGAATTGAGGGAGATATGCACTTGTGATCAAGAAATCAAAGACTTATCCAATTAGGTCAAACTTCTCCAATCAACCCTTGCATCTTTGGACTATCTTTGACAACTTGAGGCATGGTGGATCATAATAGACTTTGTCAAGATATTTATTCAAAACATCTTCAAGGATGAAGCTTGAATCTCAATGAAGCTTTATTGAAGAAGGAATGGGAATAAACTCATGAAACTCTAGATCAACTTGATAGAATGTGGTTTGCTTTCACCTATAATATCATCAATTAGTGCAAACATTCATTGTATTTATTAGTTAAAAGCTAATTAATTCAAAACATAGATGATCACAGAATAAAAGTCAAGGTGTTTGGTGATTCCCCATGAGAAAAGCTAAAGATAAGGAGATGAACCAAACCCTAGTATGATTTTATTGTGATTGAGTTGATATGATATGATAGAGGAATCTTAGGGGCAAAAATTGGGGTACAACACCATGTCAAATTAGAAACAAGCTAGATGTCAAGGGAGAGTAGGTGATAATTATAGTGTATCACTCTTCCGGTAGTTACAAGTTATATGATGCAGAAAACATAAGAAACATGATCAGTATGGATGTCGTTTTTGACAAAATCAAGCAGATACAACAACTTGCAACAAGTTACCAACAAACTGTAATCAGTAACACCAATCAAAAATTCAATCCTATAATGCTGGAAGGTACAAAATCAACCCCAATTTAAGCCCGAATGGAAGATAATGTGAAGAGATCAACAAGACAAAGAGGTTTTCTTGCAAGTCTCCAAGATTAGGAGTTGTTCCAAGATAACAAAATCAATGATGATGGTTATTTCGTCCATTTTGAACTTATGGTCGAATTCGAACTTGTTAAAATGAAGGAGGTTTTGAGTGATCCAAAATGAATTTATGCTAGGAAGAAGGATATTAAATCTATGTAGAAGAATAAGACTTGAGTGCTAGTTGATTTACCTCAAGGGATAAAGCCTATAAGTGTGAAATGGGTATACAAGGTCAAAGAAAATCCCAAAAGATAGGTAGTGAAGCACAAAGCTAGGTTGGTAATTAAGAAACTTTTGCAAAAGAAGGGAATAGACTTTGAGGGAGTGTTTACATAAGTATCAAGGATTGAAACCATTTGATTGTTTTTTGGAATCACAAACAACAACAATTGATCTATTTATCAAATGGACGTCAAATATGCATTTTTGAATGGATTGCTTGAAGAGGAGGTATACATAGAACTAACCCCTGATTTTGTTATGAAAAACCAAGAGTCAAAGTCCTATAAATTGAAGAAGGCATTATATAGTTTGAATCAAGCTCCAAGAGCTTGAAATAAGAGGATAAATGGTTTTTTTAAAAGAGATTGGATTTGACAAATGCATATGTGAACATGGTGTGCGTGTGAAAAAGGATGTAAACGAGTGGTTGATAATTCTCTATCTCTACATAGTCGATTTATTGGTTACAAGCAACAATGAAAGGTGCATTTCTAATTTTAAGAGTGAGTTTATGAAGGAGTTTGAGATAAATGACCTAGGCCTCATTACATACTTCCTTGGATTTGAGTTTTACCAGTCCAAGAAGGGTCTGCTCATGCACCAAAGAGGATATGCACTTGAGATTTTGAATAAATTTGAAATGGAGCATTGTAATGTTGCAATTACTCAGGCTGGACTGATGTTGCAATTGTTGAAGGATGAGGATGAGCAAAATGATAACCCAACTCAGTATCAGAGGCTGATTGGATCTTTACATTACTTATGCAATACGTGATCAGATTTGGCGTTTAGTGTCGGTATTGTGAGCATATTCATGGAGAGACTGAAGGTGTCTCACTTGATAGAAGTCAAGAGGATTCTAAGATATTTCAAAGGATCTATTGACCGTAAATTCTCTTTCCCGCAATGGACAAGGGCGGGAAATGAAATATACTTGGATATACTGATTCCAATTGGTACAAAGATAAAGATGACATAAAATATAAAACTAGAAACATCTTTATGTTCGTAGAAACAACAATCGCTTGGTGTTTGAAGAAGGAATCAGTAATGACACTCTCTACTTGTAAGATTGACTACATTGCATCTTTGTTGTGTGTGCCAAGTTGTATGATTGAAGAATATGTTAAGAATTAACACAAAGTCATTCAAATTTAAAAAAAAAATACTCATGGTGTTGTTAGGAAATGAAGAGGGTGACATTGTAACGCTCATGGTTGATAACGTTTCTGCTACAAACCTTGTTAAGAATCACATTCCACATGAGAAAAGAAAATATTCAGATGATATTTCACAACTTGAGAGAACTTGTTAGTGAAGGAAGATTGATGTTGAGGTATTGTAGAAGTGAAGACTAAGTGGTCGATTTACTGATCAAAGATTTGTCAATTTAAGTGTTCAAGAGATTGAAGAAGCATATAAGCATAGAAGACTCGAGACACATGAATTAAGATGATGCATTAAGAGAAAAAACTAATTCAAATTATTCGATTTCTGCGAGGTTGTAACTAGTTACAACCTTTTGATAGAATCAAACAGAATCGTTCTGTAACTAATTATATATGAAACAAAATTTAGGCAAAATCGTTCTATAATCAATTAGAGATTTAATATAATCAATTACAACACTTAGTTTTTGACTTTTCTATTTTATTAATTATATCTCAAATCATATATTTGTATAAATATTTTATGGCATCTCATTAGTAAATAATGCTAATTTTCACCTTTAATTACTCAATCTCATTCTCCCACTCCCTCTCGCTTTCTACATTCAAATTATTCACAAATCTTGTTATTTCAAAATTCCGACACCAATACCTATACCTATACAAAAATATAAAGAATCAGGTATATTAATCACTTTTTCTTATATATCATTTAACCTATGTAAATAGACGATAAAAAACTAGCCTCATGAATCAACACAAAGTCGTTCAAAGTAAAAAAAGAAAAAACACAAGAGCATAAGGAAAGAAGGTTACGTAGTATTTCATATATAATGAATCGTTCACATGTGAAGCCATTGACCTAGCTAGTGGAGGAAATAGTTTCCACTTGTTCCAAAGGAATGTTTGTAGGCCCCACAAAAATACCGAACCAAAATATAATCACAGTTTTTTCTATAGTCCTAACATATAGTCACATACTACATATTAATTAATTATAGTGGATGCATGACATAGAACCCTCTCATGATATTGAAGTCTTGTTCAAATTAAATTTAACCTTCAAGTGGATGACAATAATATATATACAAATAGGGTTAGTGTTTTAGTTGGGGCAGGTAATCTAATTCTCAAGATTTGTCTAATTTACTAATTATATGGTTTAATCTTATAGTACATTTAATTAAATATTGTTTTATAATTATATTGTTAGCATTAAAAGTGGGTGTGACATTAATTCCTTATTCAGCTAAAACACTGAGATCTTACAAAAACTCTCTTGTCCTTCCTTTTCATTATTCTTTTACTATTTATTCTTTTGAATAATGCTATCAAGTGGTTTCATAGTTGGAAGAATCTCAGATGTGATAATTTTGACAACAAAGCTGCCAATCCACTCATTTATTTAGTTTTATAAGGGAGACATTGATAGAAAGAGTAGCTGGAAAAAGTGTTCAAAGCAAATCAATATTTTTTCTTCATGATTATAATTGTGCACTTGCACAATTTCATCATATCTGGTTAATCCAACTCGATTAATAGCTATAGGAATATTCGAGTAAAGTGTTATTTTGAGAGCCGTATTTGAAGACATGTAAAACGGACTATCATGCATATTTTAAAATATGTTATGGTTAAAATGTGACTTTGAAAAAATTTCATAAAATATTTCTCACATGGATATAGTGGTTAAATAAAACATCTTTTTATTTCATTAGGGTTAAATTGAGACTAAATATATATAACTTCTAAAAATTTGAGACGACTCTGATTATTCCTACATTATTCCTATATGTGATTGATTTATAATAATCAAAAAAATTTGAGAAATATGTTTAGAGTTAAATTATGACTCGCATAACATACTAACTATTAATATTTGTCATGTAAAATAACATATAAATCAAACCAATCTACTTCTTAAAGAAGAATTCATGAATACAGGTTGCATGCATGCCATGGACATAAACAAGGTCCAATATTCACCTATTCTTCTATCCCTCTATATATATAAAAACAATCCTCACATTACACAAATTAATACCAAAGGCATTAATTGTATACAAAACAAAGTAAAATAATCACTACTAAAGAAAATAAAATTTAGGTCGAAATATTAGAGACAAAAAAATATAAATCAATCTCTAATTTTAACATCTTAAAATAATATTTAAGAGAAAATTAGAGAGAGATTCTATATTTTCTTGTATGCTCATTGATTCTATTGTTAGTTTTGAACAACTTAAGACAAATGATATCCTTAAAGGAGGAAAAAATAGAGAAATAAAAATAATGCATGATGTTTATCTCACTTTCCTTGGCCTTCAACTTCTTCAACTTCTTCATCTTCTCTTCTTAATTACCATGATCCTTCACCAATCATTCCATTCCAATATCCAGTTGAATTTCCTTGTTGATCTTTATTATGTTCCACTTGAACACCACTTGTAGGAAGCTGTTTATTAACTTCTCCAAAAGGGAACAAAAGTCTTCCACCACCACCATCACTGCCACCGCCACCATCTTGGACTTGAACATGATCATATGATCTATTTCCATTGATTCCATCAATTGAAAATCCAAGACTAGGTTTAACTTCTTGCATGGGAAATCCAGAAGGGTAAATAGCATTTGAGTTTGGCATCAAAGAAATATTATTATTATTAGCATAAGGGTTTATGCCTCTAGATGCCATGCTAGACCTAAGTAGGTCAAGAGCTGAAGAAGAAGATGATTCATTATTGTTATGCATCTCAATATATGATGATGACATACCATGATGATTCTGATGATGAGGATTATGATGATGGTGATGATAGTTTTCCATAGATGGAAAAGCTAGGTTAAGATCTTGGCCTCCATGCATTTTAGGGTTTTGATGAGATGAAAGATGTGAGACTTGAAGGGTTGGTGGATTTAGGTCAGGAATTTTTGGTGAGTTATTATTATTATTAGGTGTGGCTAATGATGATGATGAAGGAACTTTCTTGTTCTTCCTTGAACCTCCTCCAACAGGAACATTTCTTAGAGATCCTCCTTCAGTCCAATACCTTCTACATGTCTTGCAAAAGTATCTTGGTTGTGTGAGACTATAGTTGTTGTAATAACAAAATTTTGTGTTGGTTGAATTGCACCTTGGACAATTTATTTGCTCTTGTGGCCTTGCTTTCTTCTCTAATCCTTGCCTTGGACATGAATTTGGACCTATCCCTTCCATGAGTGAATGAATACCTATACTTATATATAGTGTTCATCATGTCACATGAATCCATAGAATATAATCATTATTTCTTGAATATAGTAAAATATTTATATTATAGAAAGGAAACTCCAAGAACATTTTAAGGTCATCAAAGTTGCTCCCAACAAATAGAATTACATCCATAGAATATATATTAAGCTTACATAAATTTTTAGACATGTTTAGTCATAAATTAATCAAAACAAGAGAGTGTAAAATAAAATGTAAAAGATTAGAAGTTGAGAACTCAAAGAAATTATCATGTTTTAATTTTATGCATGTTCTTTAAAAATAATATGAGGAAAAAGGTAAAGGTAAAGAGAAAGGAAAAGGAAAAGTTGAGTTTGTGATGATATTAGGGTACGATCAAAAAAAACTTCCTTTAATTGGAAGAGAAAAAGAGAGAAGAAATATAGAATATCAAGATATATATGTGAGTGTGTACTTTAAAGATTTTATATATATAATGAATCACCTAGGTATAGCTAGAAAAATGAAAATCAAAGATACAAACAAGTAACAAGACATAAATCTAGATGTGTCAGCTTTGGAACAACCCTAAAACCCAGAATAAATATCAAAGAAAAGACACATGAAAAATCCATATCTACCTTTCTATGGCTAGCCATGAATTGAAACAAAAGAAAAGAGAAAAAAGAAAAGAGAGGATTCACCTTGTTTGTCTACAAGACTGCACCTGCTCTATACTTAGTGCAAGAAAGAATGTTTTTGTTTCGTTTGTGGGATGGCTTTATGTGTTAGCTTTACTTTATGAATGAATGATATAAAGGAAAAGGGAAAGAGAGAAGATAGAAGAGAGAAGAGAGAAGAACAAGTGTCTATTTTGACTACACAAGCATTAATATTTTATTTTTTCATTAATGATGTTTTTGCATATGGTACACTCACTTTAATTTAATGATGACTATGATGCTTATATATTTAACTTTTTTTATCTTCCATTATTAAATATAATTCTATATTAGTTTCTTTTGGTTTTCTTTATGGTCATGCTTTTTTGTGTGTGGTGGAATATAATAAGTATTATGTACTGTGGTGGTTTCTACTTTTTGAATGATATAGACTCTTATTTATGATTCAAATTGTCAAACTTTCTTTTTCTATAATCAAGCACCTTTCTTTATGTTTTGCCAGAATCAAGGACTATTCTTGTTTAATCAATGATTTCAATGGGATCACTTATATGAAGTTTTTGATTTAAATTTGATTGCCTCAATTCAGGCTTTGCTTCCTTTAATTATGGATTTGATTTCTAACTATCAATAGTGTATTTATATTTAAATAAATATTTTTTTCTAGGTCACTTAGAGTTATAGATTCACCAAGAATAAAGCAAACTCAAAGATTTATAGAACGCTTATAAATATATTTATAAATCATTCAGCAAAGAAGTTATAACATTGCCTTCTTTTGATTGAAGTGTAATTTAAATCTAGGTGATTAAATTAGTTAAGTTACTTGTTATACAAGTAACTAGCAAATTAAGTTGATTAAGTTGTTAGGTCTTGTTAGTAGTTGGACGTTTAACTAATGTTGTATGAATAATAATCATTGGTTTATTAGTAAATGTACACAAAAAAACAGGAAATTGAGTGTTAAGTGCAATACACACACATTAGTTTTGCTTTCTCTTCTATGTGTGTTAATATAGTCATCACAAATGCTATCTAGAGCCTTAAACTCTTGGATTTCAAAAAATGTTCAAGATTGTGTGTCCATTCAACTTGTTCATTGAGTGGACGTGGCAAGTTCCTTCGAGAATTTTGAAAACAACTTTAAGTAGGAAATTCCATGTTTTTTACCACAAGAATTGTGACATATGAAGTAAGCAAATGAAGGTGATCTTTAGGTTCTAAAATGTGATAGAAATAATGCACAATCTTCTCAATGACGCACAAGATGTTGAAGTTTCTACCCATAATGAATTGAAGAAGAAATATTTTAAGGAAATGTTTTTTATTCATTAAAATGTTGATACTGTCGATTCTCGGAAAATTGTGAATGCTATTTTGTCGAAAGAATCGTCGGAAATTATTGAGAAAGGTCATGTTGGTTATGAAATACTCAAGAAAGTTCATTTATGATCATTAAGAAGACAATTGGAATTGTTGTAGATAGAGGACAATGAGAAGGTTGTTGAACATTTCACCAGGTTTAATTGTAACTCGTTAGAGAGTTTAGATCTTTTGATTTTCCTCGTTCTAGGATTTAGGCACTCAGATCAAATATTAGAAATATAATAGATTATTGTGGTTCTTTGTGACATGCATGTTAAAGCTTTATGAAGTTTTTATTATGACAACTGAACCAGGCAAAATCAATCAGAAGCATCATCAAACAATAAGCTATCAAAAATTAAAGTTGATCAAAATCTAATGTTAAATGTAAAACAAGATAAATCAATTTCAAAGATCAACATTGAAAGGAACTAAAGATTTGATAGCTCACCTGATCTTTCACTTAAGCATTTTTATCTTTCTAATTAGTTATATACAAATAAGCAAGAATAAGTCTTGAAGTATTAAGGTGATTGTTGTACCCCAAAATTTGTCCTCTCATCTTTCTCAAGACATGGCAAGAAAAATCTCCAAGTGGCTCAAGATTGCTCAAGAGTTGGACAGTCAAGCTATCTCTTAAGGAAGTCAACCCCAAATTAGGGTTTTGTGTTGCATCAAGATCCTTGAGTCCAAATGACCTAAAATGCTCCCTAATGTCCTAATATATTCTCAAGGTCATCCATGTCAAATTTCAAGCCTTGCAGAGGAAGTTTGCTCAGTCAATTGCTCAAAGGGTCCAAAAATTGACTGTGCTAGGGCAAAAGTCAACTGTGACCCAAATACAGTCAAACTTCAAGATTTTTTGTCAACATTCTAATTTTGAAGGATATTTCATCATTTTATTAAGGGTTGATCATGATTCATCAAGGATTGCTCAAAATTCATCAAGGCTCAAAAGTTGCTAAATTAGGGTTTTGTAGGAAAAGTCAACTCAACTTTGACCGAGCATAACTTTCTCATACTTTATGAGAAATGACCCATCCAAAGCTCATTTTGAATAGGATGCAATTTCATACAATCCATCTTCATACCCCAAGATCATAAAATGCACTCACAAGAAGTTATAAATTTGGACATTATAGGTCATTTTTGAAAGTCAACAAAAACACCTTTTTTGCCAAAGCTTATAACTTGAGCATGGAATATCAAAATGAGATGAGACCAAAAGGGTTGGTTATAGAACATCTCAAGATTTCTAAAAAGTCCAAGAACACTTCCAAAAGTTCAAAATTGAAGAAGTTATGCATTGTTGAAGTTGGGCATTTTTGCAAAATTGCCAAAAGTCAACTATCCCCAAAACTTCAAATTTTGTCAAATGGGCCCATTCTTTTCCACTTGATTTGAACTTTCCACATTGCACACGTGTCCTAGATTCAGCCTTGTGTCCATTTATCAATTTTATTATTTTATTTGATTTTTTATTGAATTATTTCATTTTTAATCAAATTAAATCAAATAAAATCCAAATATTGATTGCTTGATATCTTTTTGGCTATTTCAGGACTGAATCATCATCATCAAGGGTATCAAACTTGTATCAAGCATTCCATGTGAAAAAAGATTGAGTTTTGACAATTTTGGAAGGTTTAGTAATGGTGAATTAAATCAAATCCCATGGCATTGATGTGCAAAGATTCAAGGCATATTTGTTAACCTAATACATTCTATCATACATAAGGAAGCTAGAGGGCGCGAAAACAAGGCTGGAGGCTGCAGAAAGAAGAAAAGCAAAACTTGCAAAATTCACAAAAAAGTGTGAAACCAAAATCATACTTTGAGGCATTTTCAGAAGCAAAGCTTGACACCAATCAATTGCTGGAGGTTCACTGAGTCAGAACCAATCCAAAGCAAGCTCGCATACACATCAAAACTCGCTGTGAGTGTCACGTTTCTTGGCCCTGTTTTCAAAATCGTGGCTCTCTATTTCTGCATCATTCTGGCAAATCATTGATACATTTGTGACTCTCATGAGATTTCTAAGCTTTTGGCAATATTTAATTTCATTTATATGGACTGTAATCTCATAATAGAATGGCTAGGGTTTCGTGTTGGGTTTTAGGGATTTGCGTTTCAGGTGAAATTGAATCTCGTGATGGACATGGTTGCACTCAGGAGAGGGAGACGAACCTAACCATGTCTTTGGGGGTCGTTTTTATGGCCTAGAATTAATTTTGGGATCGACCTACGAATTTAGCTGCGAATCTAAATCTGCAGGTAAAGTTACAGGGGCTGGAGGTAGGGGACGGAGACGTGGCAATTCCCCAGTGGACCATTCAAACACGCGCGCCTTTTTTTTCCTGGCATATTAATCCATTTTCTCATATTATTATTATTTTGTATATACTTAACAACTGAAATGCACTGGCCTAGTGGAAGCAAGCGCTGGCAATGACCAACTGGACCTGGGTTCGAATCCCAGGTCCCCCATATGCCTTATTATTATTTTTTCTTCAGGAAATCAAGTGTTGATCCAAGCGTGAAATCTATCATGCACTCTCAAGCATTCAATGGACAGATGGCCATATGCCAGATCTAAGGGCCAAGAGATGAACGTCCATCATGGGATCCAGTCAACTAGCACACATGGAATCTAGGGAAGTCAACCAGGCCAGCGCTTAATGGGCCCCAAATTGCCATTCTGACCTCCTATTCAGGCCCAAACCCCCCTAACTCTTTCTATTTCATTTTTATTTTATTTAATTGTTTGTTTAATTATTTTTATTATTAACTAACCAATCAAATCTTTTTTTATAAATTAAAACCAAAAAAATATTTTCTTTATTAAATTAAATTTCAGTATTTTAATTTTTTATTAACAAATATTAATTTAATTAATTTAGGCCATTAATTAGGAATAACTTTAATACCTTTTTTGTAAAATAATTAAAATTAACTTAG